TGTCCGATCTAATGATTTTGAGGTTAAGAAATGATAACTGTTTATTGTTTTCGTGTTCTGTGGTAAATTTAATGTTGGGATGAATGGAATTTATGTGTTTAAAGAAAGTTAGTGTGTGTTCTGTAGAAGTGAAACCAGCAAAAGTGTCATCGACATATAGTGGGGGATGAAGCGCAGAATGTATGGCTTGTGTTTCGATCTGGGTCATAAATATATTGGCAAGAACGGGCGAAACTTTGTACATTTGCTGTTTTGTTAAATTTATATTAAAGTTTTTCTTCATTACCCATTCAAGCCGTCTCCAAACCTTTATGTCGCTATTCGCGAAAATTCTAAAACAAACATTTATGTAGCTATTCGCGAAAATTCTGAAACAAACCTTTATGTCGCTATCCGCGATAATTTTGAAACAAACTTTATATAGCTACTCGCGAAAATTGTGAAACAAACCTTTATGTAGCTATTCGCGAAAATTTTGCAACAAACAAATCTTTATTATTCCTCTTTCACCTCCGGTTGTTAAAGGTATAGATCCCTTTTAATTAACTATATTGTAAAGTACAGTTAAATTATACGACTGTCACTACTATTTTTTGTTTTATTTGTAACTCTAAATAAATACCTTTGTTTTACCTCAATCAACCTGCAACTGTAAAATATTAAGATTGTGTGTATCGTGATCGCTTCGTTAATAATCTGAACTATACATTTATTTAAGATAAAGTCGTTAGGCTAATCAAAATATTGAGATTTTACTATGATCCTCTGTTGGTTTGTATTTTAACAAAAGTATGGAATGGAATCTTTTAGTACGCTGTTCATGCAGTCATTTTCACTGTGTTTATATTGGTGGATTAATTGATCCACCATCGTCAAGACAACAGCTGTAATATAATATAAGGAATTTGATTAATACGACCAATATCGCCAAGACGATAACTGCAGATGGATTCTATTAAATCAATAATACTTTCTGTGTGGCCTCTTGTTAATGTAAAATAATTGTTTTATTTACAACAATATTATATAGGATTTAATTATTAGTTTTATGCAAAAGAATTACAAACTTTTTAGTTCCATCTATATACTACTAAAACTCTGAGATTGTTTGTTTGTTTGCTTGTCTGTAATTAAATACAGCAAAAAGGGGGGAATAATAGCGCCATATTTGTAATGAAATGAGAATAGAAACAGAATAAAACAAGTTTCGTTAAAAATCGGGTCACGAGTTACCCAGTTAGCGCCGTATTTCGGGTCACTTTTATGAAAATTTCTAGCATGAGTAATTTTACATCACACTACCGTTCGCGCTCTTTACGAAACTTCTTCGTTCAAATCTATTTCCCTTTCAATGTTCCCATCTTCATTAAAAGGCGTAAGATGACAAAAACAAGATCTTGAAGAATTTCTCAATAATGTGCCTTGGTTATGGTAGGTAATTCGAAGAAAAAATAAAGTGTTACTGTTTCTTATTTGTAGAAGGTTTAAGAGAAAAAAAAAC